CCTAATAGTGGAAGAGCTTGGAGCAGGCCCATTCCTACAGGACATGGTTGAAGAAGGCTGGATTTTGGGATTGGCCAATCTGGCTGACTCACAGAGTGTGGCAAGCTTCCTGTCTCCACTGTTGAGTAACAAAAGGAGAGCTATGTTTGTGTCTCATGGCTTTTTGTAACTTCCAGTTCACCAGATGCTTCGAGTTAGAGATGGGACTGATGTAATGTCCCACAGAGAAGTGGAACAAAAGCCAGTAGGGTACCTCATGTCTGAGACAGAGGCAAGAGGGTGTCGTGAGTTTACGGGCAGCTTGGGCTGCAGACCTTGTCCCACAAAACCAAAAGGATGAAGATGAAAAGAAGAAATTGGGAAGGTGGAGGGCTAATGGAAAACACCTATCTCCTATAAAAATAATTTCTCTCACAAAGAAGAAAACAAAAAGCAAAAACAGTCTTGAGATACAGTCTGGTTAGCTGGTTTATGAAGATCTTGTAGGTCAATAACTTGGCCTTTATGCTAAAATTAAAGTTTCTGATTAGGAATAGTGGCACACGCCTTTAATCCCAACACTGGGCAGGCAGAAGCAGGCAGATCTCTCTGAGTTTGAGGCTAGCCTGGTCTACATATTGAGTTCCAGGCCAGCCAGGGCTTCATGGTGAGACCCTGTCCAAAAAAGGAAAGGAAAGGAAAGGAAAGGAAGGAAGGAAGGAAGGAAGGAAGGAAGGAAGGAAGGAAGGAAGGAAGGAAGAAGGAAAAGTTAGTTAAGGTTTCTGGGCTGAGGTTGGAGCCACATGGGAGAGCATTTGCTGAGGCTTCAGCACCAGAAACTAATAATGACAATAGTACTAATGTTTCTTTGGTGTTAGTTTGAATTTTCCATTGAGTCCTGAACCAAAACTTCACAAAGATGGCAGGAGAAAACATAGAAAGAATTTCAACTCCAAACTAAGATTTCTTCCTTAGGGAAATTAATGTAAACAGGGTTCATTTCCTCAAGGATGTGGGAGTCTGGGATCTTTGACCTTGTGGTATCTGGCGACTCATTTTTTTCTTGATGCAAAAGTCAGTTTATTTGTGTAAAAATGCTTTGCTGACACAGCTCTGTTCCTCAAAACATACAGTTCTTCCTAAGGACTTTATCTGCCCACTCACCATTTTACGACTCTCATTTCCTAATTCTTTCCAGGGCTGGGGATCAAACCTGAGTCCTTGCACATAGCAGGCAAGCACTCTACCACCAAGCCTTACTCCAGGCTCATAGGATTATATTGACACATGCAAAATACTTTTTGTTTTCTTGGAGGATGGTTCTCTGGAGGGTCCCTTGTGAACTAGACGTTACGGATCAACAAAGTCAACAAAGGTGGTTTGTGCTTTTCTGAATGCTGGAAGCAGGTGAGGCACGCCCTTGCATTCAATTCTGCTGAAAACTTGGCTGTTGATCAGCATTTCCACCAAGCGACTTCAAAAGCATGATTATGTCAGGTGTGATGGTACACGCCTGTGATGCCACCACTCGAGAGACTGAGGCAAGAGGATTTCAACTTTAAGGCCTGCCTGGGCTGCAAGCAATATACACAAAAAGCAAAAGCAAACAACTCAACGGTATAATTATTAGACCTGTTGTCAGCTCAGTACATATGACAAAGGGTCTTGTGACAAGTTGTACTCTGGATGAACTCTAAATGCCTTCCCCATCCCTAAATGAGTTGCTGTACTGGTGTGGCACTCAATTGTTGGATTTCCCAGAATTTCTAAGAGCCAGAACCTAATCTACAATTTCATTCATGCACTCCCATGGCATTTAAGTTGCATTCAAGTCTTCTGCTCTTGTTTTTGTGTACATCTCCTGGGACCATGGTCTTAGAGGAGAGAAGGAGAATAACAGCAGACTCTAGTGAGAAACACAGGAAACCAGGCTTACCGTGAGAAAATTCTTCCAGAGTCTGCATGCTCAGTTGAGTCCAGCTGTGTCGTTGAGGGCCCAGCCTACAACAAAACAGGAACTGGGTTTCACAGAAAGGGTTTCAAGAGCATACTCATTGTTATTGTCACGTGCCCATGTATCTTATCAGCATTTAGATTTGAGTGTTATTGTGCATAGTCAGTTGCATGCAGCAGGATTTCCAGGTAGGAAAGTGGAATGCTGTTTTCCTTTTTTTTTTTTTTTTCCCAGATCTAACACGTTTCTTAAGACACTCAATTTGCTCAGCTGTAGGAAAAGTGGGCTAGCCTTAGGACTGTGGGATTTACTGTGGTGGTGGAAAAAGAAAAGTCAAGTCATAAAGGAACAAAATGACTTATTTCAGATAGGATGGGCAGGGGAGGCCACTCTGAGTAATAAGCTAAGACCCAAAGGACGAGAAAAGATTAGGGTAAGAGTTTCTAGGAAGATGGGACAGTGTATGCAAAGATCCTGTGGCTGGGCAGGATTAGTGTTGTGAGCCAAAGACAGTGACATGAATGAGTTTGGGAAGGCACTTAGAATTTCTGGAACTGGATAGATATAGCTCAGTAGTTAAAAGCTCTTGCAGAGCTGGGCATTGGTGGCACACACTTTTAAAAGTCCCAACATTTGGAAGGCAGAGACAGGTGGATCTCTGTGAGTTTGAGGCCAGCCTGGTCTACAGAGTGAGTGCCTGGATAGACTCCAAAGCTACACAGAGAAACCCTGTCTTGAAAAACAAAAACAAAAACAAATATAAAAGCTCTTGCAGATGACCCAAGATGGGCTCCCAGCATCTGGCTTACAGTGCCTGTAGCTCCAGCTCCAGGGGTTCCAATGCCAACTGTCTCTATGGGTACCAGCACTCATGTACACAGATATACATGCATATACATAATTTTTAGAAATTAATTTTTAAAAATCTCACCATGTAGCCCTGGCAGCTCGGAACTTGTTATGATGATGAGGCTGGACTTGAACTCAGAGATCTGCTTGGCTTTGTCTCCTGAGTGATGAGGGAAATAAAAAATCTTTTAAAAAATCCCTTTCTGCAGCAACTTGGAGGTTTCTTCAAGTTTCTATCGTCTGTCTGTCTGTATGTGTATCTATCTACCTACCTACTGACTTACGTAATGTTTTTGGAGTCAGGGTCTTGAGGACTTCAGTCTCCCAAATGTTGGTATTATAGATAGGTTCCATCATGCACTAGTGTCAGTCTGTTTTAATTCTTTGTGTAGTAGGAATCCATTAAAGTGTTGTGTAGATTCTAGTGTAAAGTGGTTTTTATTTTCTCATATATATCTGTTTTTCTGTGATGGCCAGAACAGGAGATGGGCAGTAATAGAGGTGGCCATGCTTGTGGCGGGCTCTGGAGGTAGAATAGACAGCACTTTGGATGTACTGGATGCAGAGAGTGAGGGAAAAAGACAAACCCAGGGCATCTAAATAACAGGTAAGGCTTAGGGTGGAGCAACAGGTTTGGATGGTAAAGAACAAGAGCAGCAGGGGGCACATCTGGATGGCTGTGGATCCCCTAATGAAAACATCAACACAGTTTGGATATAGTTACCTCAAGCTGCAGGGAGAGATCAGGGCAAGGAACATAAATCTCAGCATGTGGCATCTGATGCCATCAAAGCTATTGAATTGGATAAGATCACACAGAAGAACACAGATAAGACCCAAAGCGCTCAAGATCCTTAACATTCTGGGTCTAAATAGTGGCAGTACACAGATAGCCAAAGATGTGGCAAACAGTGAGAAAGGGACATTCCTGGTACTAGGAGAACATTTCCAGAAACACTGGGTGATCTACTGATTGGCATTGCTTAGATAAGAAAACTCGAAAACAGAAACATGAGTGGGGTTGGGCAACATATGCCTATGATGAAAGCAGATTAGGTAAGGTGCCGGGGAAGTGCCGGCCAGAGGGAAGTGGAGACAGAACAGAGAGGGCACACTTCCAAAAGCTCAGGCCCAGATGAAAGTCGTTTTAAGGCCCTTTGCTTCCCTCAACGTTGTGAAAGAACAAAGCTCTAAGGTTACTGTCAGATTGCAACCCGGTGTTCCCTTCCTGTTTTGATCACAAAGTCCACTTTGCTTCAGTTTTCAATTAGGGCTTACCAGAAAATCATCTCCTTTCATCCCAGCATGAAACCTGGACACGATTGTTCTGCAAAGTTAACTCCTAATGATATTGGCACACGTGAGCTTCCTGGCTACATCCTTGTGGAGTGGGATGTCATTCTGGTGACCCTGATTTCTTGTTAGAAGTTGAAAATATCTTTCTATTATCATGAAGACAATTAATATTTCAGGAGAAATATTCTTCTTGTAGTTCAGCCAAGAAATTGAAAATGACAGAGCATGGACAGCCGGCTTCTGTCGTTTGTACAGGGATAACAGGAAAAAGAGGAACTGGTGGTGGTGTTGTCCCCTCTGTTTTCACTTATCCTCCGCAGCCATGCCAGGGACTGCTGACTATTGAGTTGTTTCACTGCATTCCCAGATCCAGGAACTAGACCAGCACTTGCCTTTTTCTGACTGCCCTTGGGTCTAACCCTGCATCCCTGCATCATTCTCTCCCACCTTTGGACCAGCTCAGTCGCTCAACCATCTCTTCCCCTGTCACTAACTACAGCTGACCTATGGGACTAATAGGATACCGGGAAAAAGATATGTGATGGCTCCCAAGACTAGGCCACAAAATCGACAGTGGCCTTTCACTTGTTTTGCCTGGATTTTGTGCTCTTGGGGAAGGCACCACCATGTCAAAAGAACACTGAAACAATCCTCGGAGAGGTAACCAGAAAGAAGATGAAGCATCTTTCTAAGCTTCCTTCCAAGGACCAGGATCCATCTTGGAGTGAATCTTCCAACCCTTGCAGAGTTATGGATAGCTACATATCTGGGCAGCCATCTTGAGTGCAGTCTCCTGAGAGATCTTAAGCCAGAGTCTAAAATGAGCAGTTCTTAACACTTGGTAGATAACAGAGTGCTTCACAGAGATTGAATTGTGGGCTGGAGAGATGGCTCAGGGGTTAAGAGCACTGACTATTCTTTTCTCTCTCTCTCTCTCTCTCTCTCTCTCTCTCTCTCTCTCTCTCT